ATTTCTACCAGAACAGCAATTCTCCCAGTAGAAACTGAATGTCTGTATGTGGCCAAAATGATCTTCTAAGACACACAAGTTTCAGTTTCTAAAGGTTAACTTGTGGTTCAAGAAGTCATAAACTAGGGTTCCTCAGCTATGCCAGGACCACATAGCATGTTAAAGAGTTTTTGACAGCATGGTTTCACTCCTTTTCAGATTTTTGTTGCAACATAAATAATAAAATGCCTCTGGTTCTGGTCCTGCAGCCCTGCCTTTTTTGCATTGGCATTTTTATACATGCCTAAAGGATTCTAACAGATTTTTATGAGTTGTTGATTATCCTTAAACCACAGGGAAGTGGTAATGCAGATGAGCTATTCACCATCCCAGTGACATTTTAAAGACAACTATGGCTAGACTATTGGGACTGTTCACATTTATTCATATCTATTCACATTTATTGACATCTTTGGTCCCTCTTTCCGTGGCTCACAAGTTTATGTTGTGTAACTGATGAATGAATGAAAGAAGAAGAAGAAAAATAAATTGTACTATCACCTCAGTAATGGGTTGACAGTACCTATAGTTTGGCTGAGTGTTTTGTCCTGTGCTTAATCCTACTTTTAGGAAAGATTCAGTGGTATGCTTATCTAAAGCAAAAATTGTGAAGGGGGCCAAAACTAAATAGACAAACAGGTATGCGTGATTCATATTTCGTGCATCAGGATGTAGAGCCTCAGACTTTTATACTCAAGTAATGTTCATATGAAGATTATAAAGGCATTTTAATAGGCCCTTCAAGAATGAAGCCCTCACTGTTCTGAACAAGACAGTGAGGGCTTTCAAAAGTACAATATGTAGGTAGTGAACAATTTCTAAATAGCTTTGTATCACAGTAGTTAAAATTGATGTTTGCAAGTATTACTGCATTTATATTTTCCTTTCAATTTCAAAACAAAAAACATTAGAGTCAGAAACAAGCGTCTAGAGGCCACTGCTTTTAATTATATTAAATTTAATTTCTGGCACTAGCAAATAGATTGTATCTGGATCTCAACAGTCTAGCACTGGGGAGTTATGACTTGTTTCCCTGCGTTCTTAGAGTGAAAAATAGAGAAATTATTTGAAAAAAGCCTCCTTCTGCCATTTCAGTAGAGCAGGGGTTCCCAAACTGTGGTATGTGTACCCCTGGGAGTATGCAAGACATTTCTGGGGGTATGTGGGAGAAACCGTGTAATGGTGGATTTAATTTTCATTATAATAATAATTGGCATTTAAGAGGCTAAAATATAAACTGTATGCTGGTAGGGGTATGCAGGCAGCTGGGAAATCTGGAAGAGGGTATGCAATAATAAAAAGTTGGGGAACCTCTGCATTAGAGTGTAGAGCAGATTACAGCTCATGCCAAGGAGATTCACAGTGGGAAGAGAAACAGAAGAGGCTCCACCATTACATTTTATGATGTAACAGTTGTGATACTGAATCTTCCCACATGATGGCACACAATGGGAACTGTAATATCACAGACACATTAGATAACCCAAGATGGGCACAAGAGTGAGGACCTAGAGGAAATGGTTGCCCACAGGTGGGCAGGGGAGAACTACACATTGCATTTCCAAGGGGAGACAAATGCCACAGTGGCTGCTTTAACCCCCGCCTTCCTTCCCAAGCCCCCTCCCCTCAAAAAAACAGTGCATTACTTTAAATTCTGCACACACCCTCACTGAGCCCAGCATGTGCTCAGAAGTGGCAGTGTGTTAGTTTGACCCGGCTTGCCCAACTTCTGTATAGATTGGGTGCTTTAGTGGAGCTTTTTGGTGCTTTTATCTAATAGCTGACTGACTCAGCTTTAGATAAAAGCGCCACAAAACCCTACTGAAGCACCTGATCTATACAGATGCTGTGGAGCTGGGTCAAAGTAATGCACTGCTTCTTCCAGTAAGGGCCTTTTTGGGTTTTTTTAACGTCCGCAAGCATGCACAAAGTCTACTCCCCTAGCCTAGGGACAGACATTACACATAAACCGGTTTAAGTGATCTGTTACAGGTTTAAACCAGTTTCTGAACAGATGTTCAGTGCACATAAACCAGTTCAAAAATGGCTGAAACCGGTTGGAGATAAACCTGGTTGAATGTAGTATCAGACTTAACTGATGTGGCTCAAACCAGTTTATGCAATGTTTGTCCCAGACCCCTTGCTGGTTTAAGTTAAATCAGACTCCCCCAGCATCCCAGCATGCTCTCTGGGCTGGACGGGGCTCTCTGCTCCACAGCAGGGCTAGCCCCTCCCCTCTGAGATTTGCAGGTCTGGCAGAGATTTCAAGGCACAGCAGGGTCTGCTGGCTTCCTCGTGCCCTATCCCCCTCGCTGATCAAGCGGGAAATCCCCCTTCCCTTCCATCTCCCACAGCACAGACCCCAGCCCCACGGACCCTAGGCATGTGGTATGCTAGCTAATATGGAGAGGTGTCTCTGTGTGTGTGTCTCTCCAATTTCATTGGGACAGGCAGGCAGACAGAACAGGGCTTTTGGAGCTAATCAACAGATCAGCTGGTAAGCTGTCAAAGAACTTTGAACTAATGGAGAGAGGCTATTGTTTTGCTAACTGGGTGATGAAGACTTATCAGCTCCCAGCTGGCTTGCTTGTCTATCAGTTTGCTGCAGACAGTATGACAAAGCATGGAGGGAGATTGAAAAGCTCTGTATCATTAACAGATGCATGCATGCACTGCATGCCCCACCTCCCTCCCCGCTCCCTTGTCTCAGAGTGCTAGCCCAGGGCTGGGGTTGACAACACTGCTGCCCCTTGAGCAGCCAGCGGGGAAAAGCCTGGGATTGTGCAGCAGATATGCCCAATGATAGAGTCCTGCCAGGGCCTGGCCACCCCACCTCAGCTCAGCTTCCTGCACAAGGGGAGAGAGGTCTGCTCTAGCACCCCCCGAGCTTCTACCCTGAGCCACCGCAGGCATGTGCCTGACTTTCCTCAGTCTAGACAGAATGTCTGTCCAATTTTGACTGGTTCAGCCTAGCCAGGTTAGACTAACCTGCAAAGATTGAGTCAATTCAGACTCAGGCTTTTTGAACGTCTGTCCCTAGTCCTAATGACACAATGCAGGTGTTCCCTGTATACTTGCAACATTGCTGCACATCTTTACCTAACCCCCCACAACACTTGTGGTGCAGCGAGCCACAAGGACTCTGAAGCTTCTGAAATGGAATTTGAATGAGAAGGAACTGCAATAGGAATCTGGAAAAATCAATTCTGTATCAGGCTGGTCATAGCTTTGGGCAACAGTAATAGCAGTTTTATCAAACAAGATTTTGCAGTGATGGAATATATAAGGCACAAAATCAGAGCAAGATTAATGAAATCTGAGGAAACAAAACACTATTAAGAATGTAACTGCTAAAGCTATATTTCACCAGAGCTTATAGCCAAGCCAGAACAAGAAGTAATGGCAGTACTTAAGCTAAATATCTCCTGCCATAGCTTAAGTATTAGGAAACGTTTTATGTGGCAAATCCTCTCCCCCGTCTTGCAGGCACTGAAATTCTGTGCAACCTCAGTAGAGCATGGAGCAGAAATACTGCTGCTCTGTTATTTGGGAGGTACTTTTAAGGGTCACTATGAAGGAGCCATTTATGCAAAAAATACTTGGGAGTCAGGAGAGACTTACAAGGAAGTGACTTACAGATGAGCGTCTGATATAGGAAGTGCTCAACAGGCCCCTGACAAGAGGGTGCTCCAGTCTGAAGAGCCTGGGCTGCTGAGATGGCCATTGGCAGGGCATTCAAGTAGATGAGAACTCCGAGTACACAAGGAGTTGCTCTAAGTATCACTGGAGTTAGACTAGCCCATTGCTTCCCAAAGACAGAGAAAAGAAAGCCATCTATGCCCACTCCCCTTTGCAGGTCCCCATCCTAAGGCTTACGTGAGGATCAAGGTCAAAAGGTTTAGTACCCCAATAATACAGTAGGGGATCATAGTCATACCCCTCATTATTATTTTTTTACAACATGCACTGCAGTGCCTTTAAAGATATATACAAAACAGAACAATAAATACAGAATCCTGGACTACATGAAGTTGTGTTTCTCTCTATACCCAATTCACAACATTTGATAATTCACAGCAGGTCTGCTCATTGCAAACCAAGTGAAGTTCTTGTGTAGAACTTTATCAAGCTGGCATTGGCGTAACAGCTTTCCCAGATAAGCAGTACATCTAATGTATACTGGAAGTACTAGGGATGGAGAAAGCCCTGTATGCAACACCGTGACTGATGTAACAACTTGCAGGAAACTGGCTAAAAGCGTGGCCATTCCTTAAGCTCTGCCTTCCACAGGGCAGAGGGGAGGCAAGCACACAGAAAAGGAAGAAAACTGGAAGTCAAACCAGTGAGTCAACGACTGTCTAGATACATCAATCTCATGCCTCTCTCTGTGGATGGCTTTGGTGGGGGGAGGGAAGGTGAAACAGTCCCAAGTCTAGTACAGCTCTGAGCTGGCTGCGTGAGAGCTGGTCCATTGTCAGGGGGGAGCTCCCTTCCTTTGCTACCCACACCTTGCAGAAAAGTCCCGTGTCAGGCTGTGCATACAGTTCATAACTTATGAACAGTTACTAGAGCTCAAAGTAGAGATCTCATCGACTGCAGGGACTATTCATTGTGTTTTCAGCTTGTCATCTATGGAAAAAAATCATTTCATGAAGATAAGTAAAGAAAAGTTTCCTGCAACATTTTGTAGGAAACAGACTCATCTTTTTTATATCTTTCCTGGCGGTTAAAAGATCTTTCATAATGTGAGTGAGTGGTTATGAACAGTGTCAGAGGAAACACATACTGTGACCAGATGCTGGCTTTTGTTATTCTGTTAAAGATGTCAAGTGGGGTTTTTTTCCCACTGACTGTCCTATTCCCTGGTGGAAATTCTGATTCTTAGACTTGGCAATTTCAGCAGCTCCGAAAGGTTCTCTCTGATACCTCATTAATCACTCCTCTGCCATGTGCTATCTTACCTGCAGATGTAATTCTTCTTGCAGGATTCTTGTAAATCCAAGCAGTTTAGTTTCTCCTTGTCCTCATATGAACACACAGGAACAATAGTCTGCCGTCTCCTTTCTGTACAGGCTATGTCTCGACAGGAGCAGAAGAGCATCCCATAGCTGTGCTTTGGGGGGACTTTGTCGAAAAATAGCCGGAGGGCTTTATGACACTTCCGCTTGTTACAGATTTCATTAGACGTGCTGCTGGTGCAGGGGGTTATGTAAGCAGATCTGAATCTCTTGCAGGTATCATTCAAGTTACAGGCTTTTGCTGCATCCAAGCAATTGTTCCCTTTTGAAAGTGCCGGCTCCACTAAAAAAAAACACAATGCACAATAATAGGAAATATGTCAGATTTATGTTGTGGATTAATGTTTATGTCTATTTCACTGTTAATGAGTTCTTGAGCATATATTTGTCAGCTAACAAACCTTCAGTGCGAGAAACTGTGACTAGGCCTTATGTTTCTTGGGATAATAATTTAACGGGAGAGAGCAAGCACAAGCGCCCGGGCATGTGTTAAGATTAGAATGCTGGAAAATGAAGGATAACTAAACTAAGCAGCACTGCACTTTATCTTCTCTATAGAAGAAATAGTGTGCGCATACTAGGCTAAATTAATACAGGGTGAAACAACATTAAAATCAATTGTGTTATGACAGGAACAAATTTGGCCCATTGTGTAGCAACACAGTAAAGAAATAGAATCCTTAATCTGGTTTCTGTAAACAAAAATTACTTTGTTAGGTACTTACTTCAGCCTGAGCATTATAAACACCATACTGTAACTGTGTCAAGCAATGTGCTTATTGTTGCAGAGTTTACGAGGCAAATAGTCCAGAGAGTTTGTAAGGTAAGTAGGCACAGTCCAAAAGTCAGTGAATATTGCAATTTCATCCTACAAGCCATGTTATACCTTTACAGAGCCTGCAAGATCACCTTAACAGCTCCAGGGGCACAACCTCAGTCTTACAAAGTCTATGAGGATGACCTGGTATGAAGATGTTGCCTATGAATTTACATGGTACAGTTAAAGACATAAGCCAAAACAAAGGAATAGTTTATAACATACCACAAAATGGTAAATTATATAGAAAGAAAAGATTTCACGAGCTCAGTCATAAGGTTATGAGTTGTTATACATTAAATCCGGTGAAATAATAAGCTGGATACTAAAACATATCCATGCCTAGTATTTGAAAGTAAAGAAAACTGGAGTTAAAAGCATCTTAATACTTCATCTTAATACTACATCATCTTAATACTACAAGTATCTGGAACTCTATTACTAGTGCTTACCACATTGCTACCCCCCTCCCACCCACCCCTCTTCCATACTCCCCCTGCCTCTCCAAACATTAATCCAACATATTAATAGCACATGAATGTAGCCCATCAGGCCAAGAACTAATCTATTTTCAGTCCAGCTGTATATACTGATCATGCACAGTACAATTATATATTTATTTCACATTCCAGGTCTTTGTCCATTCCACTTTATTGGGGAGAACCACCATTTTTTTTTGTATCTCAACTCCATAAAATACAAAAATATACAGATATAACACCTTTCTATAAACCAGCACAATCGTTTAAACAGCACTGTATCTATATATCTGTATCTATAGCAAGGCAACAAGAGAAACAGAAACCCAGGTAAGCAACAACGGGCACAGCAGTCCTGGGAGCAGGGGGGGAGGTACGTGCACTCTCAGGAGGCCTCACATGTCTGTACACTAATGCATGTAGTACGGGGGGCAAGCAGGAGGAACTTTGCCTTCTGATAGCAGGGAAGAATCCAGACTTAGTGGGGTTCACAGAAACCTGGTGGGATCCTACCCATGACTGGATGGTGGGCATTCAGGGATACACACTATATAGAAGGGACAGGACTGGGAGGAAATGTGGGGTGGTCACCCTCTATGTCAAAGAGCAACTCACATCATCAAGAATTAGCTTTGGGGCAGAGGAAGTTCAGGCAGAGGCACTATGGGTCAAACTTCAAGGGGGACAAGGCGAAAGGGATCTTATGGTGGGTGTCTACTATAGACCACCCTGCCAAGGGGTTGAGCTGGACCAGGATTTCTCAGTACAGCTTATGGAGGCAGTCCGACCCCCTGCATAGGCAGGAAAGAGGGCTGGGTTTAGATGAGCCCAGGGTTTAGGGCTGGGTTTAGATGAGTTGGACCAGGATTACTCAGTACAGCTTATGGAGGCTGTTAGGTCTAGGGATGTCATTGTCATGGGGGACCTAAACTACCCAGACATCTGCTGGGAGGAGCAGTCAGCCAGGTCTGACCGTTCGCGTAGGTCCCTAGCTGAAACACAGGACCTCCACCTTATCCAGGAGGTGCACAGCCCCACTAGGGGAGATGCCTTGCTGGACCTGGTCTTGGCCACTGGGGACGACCTGGTGAGGGGACTGCAGGTCCTTGACTGTCACCTGGGTGACAGTGATCATCGCTTGCTGGAATTCACTGTCCAGCGCAGGGTGTTGAGGGCTTATACCATGACTAAAGCCCCTGACTTCAGAAGGGCCAACTTCAATGAACTTAGGAGATTAGTGGGGGAGGCATGAGGGCCCAAAAGGTAGAGGATATAGGAGTCCACGAGGGATGGTTGTACCTTAAGGGGACGATCCTCCAGGCTCTGAGCGCGACAGTCCCCGAGGGAAAGAAGGCGGGTAAAACTGCTCTGAAACCCCCATGGCTCAGCAAAGGCATTCGAGAATGCCTGAGGGCCAAAAGGGAGGCGTGCACCCAGTGGGAGGGAGGGGCTGTCACCAAGGAGGAATACTCCTC